GCATCCCTTCACAAAAAGGAAAAGACTAAAGATGAGTAAAGGGTTACACTTGAGAATCAAGGAAGCAGCAGTGGAAAGAGCAGAGGACAGTATAGGACAGCAGCTCAGAGAAAAGGGAGAGGAGGACAGAAAACCCATCAGGTAATACAGGGGAGGTTTGAGGAAAAAACAATTATTCCCAATCTCTCATCATTCAGACATTTGATAATAACGGGCAAGGAATCAGACCATGAGAGCAAAAGGATACAAAAATTGTCAGGAGTGAGCTATGAATAGCAAACAACTTTTTAGAACGTTTAAAGGAGGTGCAGGAATGTGGTGAAGCTGGTGAGCACAGGATCACCTGAGGCTAAGGAGACTGAGAACAGCAAAAACTAAGCTGCTATCCAGCACTACCCAGCAGGAGCATAAGCGTCTTCCGAGGAAAAATACTGCTAAAGCTATTTAAACAGTGACCTCTAACGGACAAAACCGGTAATACCGGTATTTCCACTGCAGAAACACTCAGGGACTCAGGTAAGGCCGCATAATGACAAAACGTAGGATCTCTACAGAGATTCTCCAAATGATTACAGTGTCAATTAATTATCTCAAGCAGGCAATTCAAATAACTGCTACGGTACTGCAAGTCAAAAACATCCCAATAAGTGAAAAGGGAGCATCCCAGTTGGCAGCGTAACAGTTGCAGTCGTACTGATGACCAGCACATGTACACATCGTCAACACTTGCACGACCTTTAACAACCCAGCCTGCTTTCCACTCACATCTTCCTCTCTGTGCACTCCTGGGTTGGACTACAGTTAACCTCAGCTTCTGAAAGCTTTTCCAGCACATTTCTACTCGTGTAATCCAGGGGTTTTAATTGGCGAACTTATCAGAACAGCAAGGAAGGTGTGATTATACTAGGATGTGACATCTTGTATACACTTTAGGTAGAAAACCTTAAGTTAGTCTAGCTCTCAAGTCTAGAAGCTCCAGCCCCACTTCATGGCAAAATAGTTCACAAAAGCTGGTCTGCAAGGAAAAAACAGAATCAGGTAAGGCATAAGCCACAATATATATGCTCAAACAGTTTCCTTTAAAAATGGGCATTTCTCTGTTGCTGATTCTACTCCAATTGTTGCTGACGTACAAATCTAGTGGCATAAGGGGACCAAAAGGTGAAGCCTCATCTACCTGCTGACTTCAGTCGAGCCTGCCAAGGTATTTTCTTAGTCAAAGGCACCCATGTGTTGTTCTAGTGGAACCAATCTACAAAAAAAGCTAAGCCCTCAAGACAATGTGATACACAAACCTTATTCCCAGCTGGGAAAAAACCCTTATACTCACTCATCTATTTTACACTGTCCCCCAGAGCTCCAAACCATTCTGCTTGTAATGACATGGGGCAAGACCTAGAGTAGAAAAGACACCCAAGCTTGGCAATATGCCTTTCCTCCCCCTGACCTGGGCTCCCCAGACATCCCAGTATTCTGCAATTCCCAACTGCTCCCCAGAACCATTATGAAACCACGAGCTCTAGGTGAAGAGGTTTGAACAAAGAAGGACAAAGTTTCATTTCAAGAACTTCTATGAGAAACTCCTTAATACAAAACTTCAGAAGCCGCATGACAGTCCAAACTGTTTGAAACTAAGCACAGTGTAACATGCGACTGGCACAGCCACTCAGCATCAACCACGGAGCAGCAGCAGCGTGCTGGCTGGCCCTGCAAGGCACAAACACATCTACACCAACACCCTAAGTTCACTTTCACCCCACATAGGGGTGTCAGAAAGAGCAAGTGGCCAAGATTGCTGCGGACTTCAAGAGAAGTTACATTCGACTGGAACTTGGGTGAAATGGTCCAAAGTAGAAGTGCATAAAACAACAGAATGGGTACACAAAAATTATTACTGTTGCACAGAAGATGCAGGAACTGTATTTTTGATTGTCCAAACTACCAAGCATGGTTTCTACAGGAGTATGTCCTGTGACCCCAACTCCTTCCATACATACCCCTCCAGCACAGCGACCCTAACTCCCTACCACTATTCATGTCCTATTAATGATCACACTGAGGTGAATGTCACCTGGATGTTCCCCAGCTACCACCAAATGACATGGAACAAAACCAACTTGGTCACATCTACCCAAATGAATCCACCAAACTGAAGGTCAGATCTCTATCATTCAGCCACTCATTTCCACAAGTTTGAGGAACTTCCATTTAATTTTATGTTAGCCAATGGGTTCAAAAGACACCTGAGTTAGCCTGGTTGTCTGATCCTAAGAGCATAAGCACGACTGTCTTAAACTTTGTTTCTCAGCTGTACACTGGAGAGAAGGCCTTAAATCACTAAACGATAGAACAAAAAACTACCAAGATAACATATGAAGACACTGGCTCATATTTCTACATTGACTTAAGAAAAAACAAAACCATTCACTTTCTCCATCAAGTTTTAACTAGATTGTCAGAGGAGACCCCAAAGTGGAATCATCCCAGGTTTGCCACTGACGCAGCAACTGAGTCAATAAAACTGCAGAACCGCAGCTGTTTAGCTTCTCCTAGAGTCTTGCTTCTCATTTTGAAGCACAGAAAGTTCTCATCAAGCAGCAAAGGACACATGCAACCGTTTCCTACGTTACCTAGAGCAGACAGCAGCCAGTTCAAGACACCTACATTAGCACAGCACCAGACAGCTGAAAAAAATCCAGCCTCATATTCTCCCGAAAAATCAATGTGGATTTGAGTACTTCTGATAGTGAATGATTTAGACACTGTGCTGGTTTCAGGCAGGAACGAGCTCCTCTTCTTCACAGTGCTGTCAGCTGGCCCAGAACAGCTAAGTGTTTCATGGTACGTCAGTCAGGCTCGGGGCACATGCGCCGTTCTGAGGCAGGAAGCGGCCTGGGGTGCCACTTATACGTTTTATATTATTATATATTATTAAATAGCTCTTATCTCAACTTTATGAGCTTTCCCTGTCTTTTCCTCCAACTCTCCTCCTGCACTGGAGGGGTATGTGTGTGAGCAAGCCACTGTGTGGTTTTAATTGCCAGATAAGGTTAAACCACAACAACATGTAGATACACAAGCGCCAGCTGTATGAATGCTGGCATGCTAAAAATATTAACAAAACCCATGCCACAAAAATATTCTAAGCAGTATAATGGATTTAACAAAGCAGTCCTCATACTTGCTAATGAAACTTTACTTAGAGTTTGCTGGCAAAAATATGAACTACGGTTATGTAAAAATATGCATATCCAGTTTTTACATGTATTTATTCTTCCAGATAGACATATTTACTCTAAACAGCAGAAAAAAAGCAAGTGAAACACTCATTTAAACGGCAGAAAATGAGTAGAAGATGCTAATATGACCTTAGTGTAGCATGTCAAGTGTCACTGCCACCAGCTTCCTCGCCATTTTAAGAACAATCTGCTAAGACAATTAATTACGTAGCTTGAAAGATTAGGTCAACAGTGTCAAATGCGAGAATATGAACTTGAAATTTAGCCTTTTAAAAATGTGTGCTGTCTATTTAAATGCCTACATCAATTTGTGAAAGAATAGTAAGTTTCAGACTTCCTAAGTTAGTTTTCAGGAGAAGCAGTGGGTTTACCTTGCCATAAAAGAAACCTAAACACAGCAATTAAAAAGGCTGACAGAATCCCTTGGCTGAGACAACAGATACACTTGCAGCCTACTGATCTAAGGGCTACTTTAGAAGAAAGCAGGAATTAAAAGTTGAGACAATGCAACACAATTTTAGAGTAGTGGCAATCCTTAAATTGGTATTTAGAAAACTAAAACTGCTTTAGCTATTCAAGAAAAATACAGAGTACACCATTTGTTTAAAGACAACATTTTTCTTGGACACCTCTTATTACCTTCTCTTTTTCCACCCCCAGTCAGGTCTACAACTAAGACACGTTAGTCAGCTTTTCATTCTGGTGCTCACGCTGAAGCACGACACCCTCGCCAGGCTCAGCTCTCAGCCAGCCGCGTTTACAGTGATTCAAGTCTCCTTGCAGGAGTTTCAGTCTCTCTTCTCTTCCTCAGAGCAAGGTCAGTATCTGCTACCTGCCCAGGCAGTTGCGTGTTCGGGTGAACTCACCCTTTAGTGACATTTATGGTTTGTAAGGTGCTATGTGGAAGAGATGATTAAGTCCTTGGAAGTCTGTTAGCTTTCAAAAGTTGCAGGATTTTTACAAATCCCAGAATAGTCAAGTCATGCTGAAGTGGCTGTATACAATGAACTGCCTGGCTTTTAAGCAGCTCAGTTTGAGAGACAAGCATCTCCTTGCAGGGACGGACCTGAGGGAACACAAAAGCCACCAGCTGGACAGCCCTGTGACCCAACTCCATCAGTGGCTGATGGTAATATGCCCAAAGCAGGTTTACCATAATGATTTCCCAAAACATTCTCTCAGCTCCCAGCCACTTTTAACTTCGTGGCTGTCTAAACCAGGGGTAGAGCTGCATGTTTAACAGCAACGCTTATGATTTTCCCTGCCTGAATTTGCCCATCAGTCTTCACTTACATGTTAGACAGCTGGAAATGGCTGGTCATATTTATAAATACATTGAGATTTCTTTGAAAACTACAATAGGGACAAAAACAAAAAGGAAGATGCCAGAACCTATACAATCAGAAACAGGGCCTAGAACAACTAACTCATACATCTCAGAACTACTCACACAGTGGCCATCATTTTAGTAGGAAATGGATACCAACCCTCTAACCAACACATTAGTACCTAATAAAGTGCACCCAGGGAATAAGGGCTTATGTGCTAGAATATTTTCATTTTTTCCTACACTTATCCATCTGCAAATGCACAAAGACTTAAGTGAGACTTTTGCATTAATACACGTTTGAAATGACACGTGCTATCTTACAGCTCATGCAGCAAGTAGTTCAGAGTTTGGTAGGTTGGGTTTTATTGGTTTGTTTGTTGGGGGATTTGTTTGTTGCCTGTAATGAAGTCCAAAAACAGAAGTATACTTACTTGTAAGCTTGTTGTGACTCAGAACCAGCTGTGTGATATGAGACAGTGTAACTGCAAACAAAGAGAAAAAAGTTATTTTATGGACATGGCAACTGAGAGCTTTTATTTATTTTGGCTAAAAAAAAAAAAAAGAGGCAAGTTATTCTTTCTGCTCCAGTAACTCCAGATTTATGTGCACTGTGACAATAAACAAAACAAGCTCAAGATTTAAGGACATAAACAGCCACTCCTTTGCCCTTTTACTTGTTTCTGTTAATGCATCAAGCATGACTTAAGCAGTGAGTCCAGGTGCCTCCCAGAAGAGGTCTGCCTCTGGTCACACAAACACCTTTCATGTCCATCCTTTGAATCCTTCCCAAGGAAAAACTGATAGGTACTCCAGCATTTATCCCAACAGAATACATGCCACACAAGCAATTACACTTCCACATGCTGCCAATTCTTTATCAAGTCACCGCTAGGTTTAAGTCCTAGACACCAAGAGCTCCATTTACAACCTCACATCCACGAAGCACACTAGCAGACTAGCATCGCTGTTACATGACAAATGGCCAGGTGACAACATGCAATATATACTCGGATTAATAGAAGGATCTGACTGATCAAAGACCCTGAGATCCCACCTTATTGAACAAAGGAGTGTGGGGCACAGGGCAGCTACAGAGCCTGGCACTCCCCCTACACTTCATCCTTTACATTTCTTGTTGCCTCCTTCCACCCTCCGCCCCACCATCGCTTTCCCTAGAAGTTCCATAGCCCTCAAGTGACAACACTATCTGATCAGAAAAAACATGCTAAAGAGTCAGAGGATAAATGTGCACCTTGATGGCACCTTCCTAGGCAGCTGGGAACCTCCTGCCTTAAGGACAGCTGTAGTGCTGCATCCCTCAGTGTTTTCCGCAAGCAACAAACATCACTAAGGTTAGCCCAGAGACATCCCACAGAGGCCTTGCTGCCTTAGGGAATGAAGATATGCTGGTAAGCATATGAGAGAACTGGCTAATCAGTACTTACTAAGTTGCAAGTGGGAAGAAACAGCCTGGGGAGCTTTTCCTTACTCATATAGCAACCCATTTCAGACAACCCTGGAAAGCTCATGGCTTACTACAGGCAAACCTAACCTGTTAGCAGAATGAAAGCAGTCCCTCAAAGGCAGAAACAGATCAGAAAGTGGAGTACAAAAAAACCCCACAGTTCCCTGGGCAAAGGCAGGTTGTGGAGCAAGGAAAGGCAGGGAGGAGAAAGGAAGAAAAAGTGCACCCACCCTGAACTTCTAAAATATGAACGTTCCAAGCACTGCCTGCAGCACTTCATGAAGCAGAAGAGGACAGAGAAGGCAGCCCATAGGAAGTCTGTAAGAATATTGTAGAAAAAGCAGTACTGAAGAGCAGACGCTTCCAGAGAGAGCACTCATCTTTAAACCATAAAAGGCACATCAGCATCTGAACCGTAAGCAACCATTTAACACTATTGATGAGTTATAGCTAAATACTGGAATGCAATTTACACACACACAGCTCGCTGGACACAGGCATTTGTCCACAAGCTTTTAACCAAGTACTCCTCATGCATTGATTTCTCTTGGTTTAGATATCTGAATAGCTGTGACAATCAGCAAAAGCCAACATTTCATGGGCCCTTGACACCTGACCACCAGAAAGGCAACCCTGCCAGTTGGCATCCTGAGGTCAGAAATACTCTAGTCTGACACCTCCAGCTCCGAGACCACTTCATCCAGGTCAAAGCCAGATCCAAACTGACATCATCAATGCCAAGATTAAAAAACCCCATCTTTTCCTGCATTTATTTGCCTAGACTCACCAGCATAAACAAGAAATCAGCTTTGCACCACTGTATTTAAGGAGAAACTGATTTTCTTACCAGGCTGTGGAGTTACCTCCTCTGCCCTAGCCCACTTCCTCCCATCCCACAAGGACAGCAATGGCTATCCTCTGCATGACAATTCAAACGCTTATGAGCCTACCCATGTACCAACCTCCAGTCCAAGGCGGCCCTTTTCCCCCACATAAACCAATCTAGGAAAGGTCCAATTAGTCAAGCAATATCTTTCCCAAGCCTCAAATGTTCAAATAAATCCTAGGTTATCAAAGAGGCAGGCAAAAGCACACAACATGTACCAAGTTCTTCCACCAGCTTTGTCCTCTCAGTCCCTCTCACAAGGGCGACAGCGAAGATGTGCCACATCACCGTCCCTGTGTTAGGCACCTCTGCCTGTAAGGTCACTGAAGTGCCTTTAAGGCTGAAGCATGGAGCATTACAAACATCAGAGCTCTGGCTGCTTGCACCAGAACCAGGAAATGGCATTCTGGCTTTGTTTTTGAAGATTTGGGGTACAGGAACATCTCAGAATTTTCACTTCTTCTATGAAGAGGATATGACTTCTATGAATAATTATTTGTTAACACTAAGGCCAGACATGTCCATGGTCACCAAATAAACCAAACGCTAAGGCAGCAGTAAGGAAGTAATCCTGATCCCCTCCCCCATTCCCCACTAAGTGAAACACCCACTTAAAGCATACATATCAGAATGACAACTCAAATAAGCTAAAAGAAATGTTTAGGATTTTCTGTACTCAAGATGTAATTCAATATTCAAATATAAAACATAAGTTACATAAAATATAATTTAATAATTCAATAGAGAAAACATACCAAGTAATATTTGTCACTTCTGCAAGAAGTCAGCTTATGAGGAGACACCATTTGCCTGTGACGTCTTTGGACCACAGAAGTATGAAGTCACTAAACTGCACTAAGTGCTGGACAGGACAGGACCGGACATCAAATCATGGAATGGTTTAGGTTGGGAGGGACCTTGAAGATCATCTAATTCCAACTCCCATGCCATGGGCAGGGACACCCTACACTAAATCCTCCACATGCATGTACCTGCTCTGGACCACTTACAAACTGAAGTAAGAAACAAAAGAGTAAGAAAAGGAAGTGGTTGACTAACAGAGAACTGAGACAGGCCCTGATCTAATCCATGCGTACACATATGGTGACCCTTTCCTGCCATGATTTCATCATTTCTATACACAGGAGGTGAGGATGCTTACTCAAGGGCAATTAAGCTTTGGGGATGCTTACTGAGGTCTTCTAAACATCAAACTCCTGCTGA